AGAGCATTAATTGAATACGTTAGATGCATGATACATGATACGTTAGATCATTTTCTAAATATTTCTTTTTTTCTTGGTTACTTTTAAGTGTAAATCTTATATATATATTGATAATGTATATGTTGGATACATGATGTACGTTAGATATATGATACATGAGTAAAATTTGAATTTTAGATGAATTATTTTGCATTCAATTGTGATGATGTATACAATATCTCAACGTATAAAAAATTTATCTTACTTTTAATCGTCTAGATAAATTTTTAATTCAATACATCATGCATTTCATGTATACATGTAATTAATTAATTGGATAGATATTTATTTATAGATGACTTTCCTTTTTTTTTCTAGTTTGATTATCAACGATACATAAGAGGAGGAGAGTTGCATTAGGCAATAAGATCAAAGGAATTGTACGTAGACACCGTTAAACTCCAAATTCTCCCAGTTAAAAAAAATTAATTCCTAGTATAATGCTAAAATCTACATTATAAAATATGCTATACGGCACCCCATGCAAACAATCCATTAATAAAGGCTGGTTTTGCTTGTTAGGCACTCGTACCTCCTTTCTCTCTTTTGTTTTTGGGGGTGGCGAAGAGAAGCAAAATTCATTCCTTAAATCTAATTGGCTTTCAGAACTGTAGCCATGCTTGGATTGCTTGTTTCCGTCGGAAAATATTGTCGTTTTCCGTGATCACATTTCCCTATCACCTTTTTCCCTCACATATATCAAATCGCTACAGTAATTTTTCCATGAAAAATGACGGAAAATGCAATCCAAACACAACCTTTGTATTGGCCCCATCCAAATTTGTCACTGATGTAGAGCTATTTCAGTCAGCGCCGTTGTAAAATAGTAATCGTCTGCCCACTCATTTGACCCTTGTTTTGATTCCTAATAGGGGTATAAATGAGCTATTTAAAATGGGGTGGGAACGGATTAAGGAGCGAGCAACCCAAGCAATTCCTTACGCGTGGTGACTGAGTCGGTAGAAGATGGAGGACGATGGTTGGGCGGTCAAACGTTGCTGGTACAGAGTCATACGTCAATTTGGCGGTTTTACTTGTCTTTGCAATTTCTGATTTTACAGTTCTCCTTCAATTATTGTTGCGGTTTGTCGAGTTGCCTGTGGCATGGGAGGCTGGAATCCGGAGATACAAGCAACATTTTATTATTGCATTCCGGCATTGGCACATTAGGTGGAGGTGATCATAAGATCTTAATTCAACTTTCAAACTTCATTTTTGTAGGACACGAATTCTCATTTGAATAAAAAAAAGGAAAGGATACATTTTGTTTCGGGTAAATTTGCTCACTCTATTTACGAGTTATAAAAATGAAAATCAACTGATCTCTAAACTCCAAATCGATCCATTGTCAATCATTTTTTTTTATACTCACCATTTTCTACTTTGATAGTTTTAATTTTTTGCATAAAGTTTAAGAAAAATTAATTAATTTTATTGAAAGAATAAATCTAACATACTGTTTTCTAGAATACCCTTACATAGATATTAATAGTACGACTAATCATTATATTTTTACATTCATTACAACAACAATACTATGAAAATTTACACCATTCTAAGGTATGAATCCAAGCAATTGATAAATAAAAGGTAGGCTATACTCGCAAATAATTAAGCATATCAAATAATATAGGTATTTTAGAAAAGTTACAAACTAATATATGTTTCTCAATTAAAAAGTAAATTATAATGTGAAATGAATGAAAAAAGGAAAATAAGATTATTAAAATGGATAGTATCTGAAATGATGGACAAATGGACAGCAAAGTGGGAGATGGTTGTTAAAAGGCATAATGCCGTTACTAAAAGAAAGAGACAAATCAATAATGTTGGCCAAATCACAAACAAAGATGTCGAAGTGATGGTACGGTGCGACCTAAAAAGTTTGGCTTGGTTGAGGTCTCTCTACTTGGAAGGCTGGCATGAATCCCTGCTTTAGGCCTTGTCTGAAATCTTGTTCCTGGCTCAACATTAGGGACTTTTCTTCAACAAGAGGATTACGCTTTTCTGCTTCGTATAAACCAGTCTTCAGAGTTTAGACACACACGGCTCCTTGAGCTGTAAAAAGATAGGGATAGGGACTTCCTTCTTGGTCAGGGTATAATTGAGTGCATTATTGACTTCATGCAGCCAACTTATTAAAAAAGACTTAACTTTGAGACCTCTTTCTCCCTTGAATCATAAGCTAAGTTGACAAGTGTAGCCATTCATCAACCAATGAGAAGTTCTCCCTTTTCAAGGCCATTAATGTTAATTTAGGTCTGAGGGTGATTAAAAAAATAATTGTAAAAACTTTTTACACCATTCAATTTATCCCCGGAAGAATTTAGTCTTCATTAACATATATAGTAAATGTGTGAATGCAATTGCCCCAATTGAACCCAATTGCTGACGTGGCGCTCTCCCATTGGTTGATTGGTGGTAGTCCTCCAATTGATTCCAATTTGATGAGTTGTCGTCCTCTGATTCGCTGATTGGTGGTAGTCCTCCCAATTGCATATGAAGATGGTGATGTGGCGAGTTTTGATTGGATGGGAGGTGGTAGTTTTCTAATTGCACGTAGGATTGTGCTAAAATTAACCTTTTTTTTCCCTTTCCCAACAATAAATTGTGTTAACAAAAAATTGGTATCCCAATTATTCACAATTATCAACGCTTTTTTTTGGTTGCCAAATAAATCACAATTATTAATTATTATTTTTTATTTATTGTAATAATTGCTTATGTTATGCTCTAACTGTATTAATTATTATTATGTTATCTTTTTTGTAATTGCTTTTGTTATGCACCAATTGTGAAAAATTTACTCTAAAAGTTGGTATCCCAATTATTCACAATTATCAACGCTTTTTTTTGGTTGCCAAATAAATCACAATTATTAATTATGACTTTTTATTTATTGTAATAATTGCTTATGTTATGCTCTAACTGTATTAATTATTATTATGTTATCTTTTTTTGTAATTGCTTTTGTTATGCTCCAATTGTGAAAAATTTACTCTTTATTTGATTTTTTTCCAACGCCAGCCTAGCTAATCTTATTGAAAAAAATTGGTGCTCTTTATTTATTTATTTATTTTTTGGAATGAAAGGGGAAGACATTCAACTATTATTATCTAATTTTCACGATAATCTTTATTTAGTATTAATTCTACATAAACAATCAACAATGTGGTGCGCTTCCATTAGTGTCATTTATTATTTGGTCACTCTACACACCAGGTTTAATTATAGATTCCCCACTATTATTTTTTATAATTATTTATTTATTTACTTGTTATTTGGGTTCCATTTTTCAATTACCCAATAAATCACATTTAATTACCAAATTTTTACAATTCATTGTTAATAACTAATTAATAGTGTTATTTTTTTTACCTAACAAATCACATTTAATTAATAACTTTTTCGCAATTATCTACCTATATAGTAAAAGCATGACTGGGTTTGTTAAGATGAATGGTTGTTGTGCTGACGTGGTTGAATGGGATTGGTTCAAGCATGCGTCTGTCACAGGGATCTCATGTGCTGAAGCTGAAGAGAAGAATTGGCTTCATTTTCCTATTTTTCTTTTCTCTTGCTTTGAAACAAGTTGTTTTCTTTTACACCGAGGGTTGATTCTTTTACCCAATGTGAGAAGCCCGTTTGAAAGTCACCAGATCCATGTCTACTTTGTTGTCAGAGTGATTAGCTTGATTTATGACAAGTGGTGGTGTTGGGCTCAATGCTAATTTGTTGGTTTTACAATTTTGACCTTACTCTTGTACCCAAAATTACCGGTGCTATTGTGAAGCCTTTCTTGTCCCCATGGGCTTGAATAAAAATTGCTTCTACCGTCACTGTTGCAATCTGCCAAATAACAGCTTTTACCTCTTTTCTTGACGGATGAGAAGACTGATGCAATTTCTCTGCACAATTTGCACACCGACCATCTATTTTTTCCAGATTTTAGGAATATCATCATCAAGGTCAGCGATAATAGTTCCTTTCTTCCGTTTTCCTTTGTTGCTTTGCTGCTGTTTTTTGCTCTCTGGTTAGCTCAGCTCCTTGCTTTCTATTTTCTAAATTCAAACTGTTTCTTGTTGCTCTCTACATAAAATTTACATTGTGCTGCTGCATTTTTCTGTGTCTTTTTTTTACGAGGTCTATTTTGTTGATTGAACGTTGTTTCTCTCCTCTCTCTGTGAAAGATAAATTGTATCTTCTCCATCTTCATCTTCTTCATTTGAACAGGTGAGTTTTTTGGTCGGTAAGTATCTCGACTTTCTTTTCTACTGCAAGAAATGAGACGAAAAAAAACAAGGAAGCCATGTGGAAACAAGAAGCAACAAGGAAAAAATGGGTCTTCGTCATCTTCATCAGAACATGTGGTTTTTTTGCTCAGTAAGTATTTTTATTTTTATTCTTTATGTGAAATTTATCTTCATCGTCAGTTTTTTGCTTCGAAAGTATTGGTACTTTTTTGGCTGCAAGAACATAGACAAAAAAAAAAGCCACATGGAAAGAAGCAGACAGGTGAAAAACTGGATCTTCAGCATCTTTATTTTGTGAAATTTAAAAATCACATGTTCTAAGCAAAAAAAACCCAATCTCTTAAATTTTTTGAGTTTTTCATTTATTTTTATGTATATTGTTAGTCTTGTTTCCCTTGTTTAGATCCCATCAGAGAGATTAAGAAAGCAAATAAGGATGGATTTGGATATGGAGGCCTGTGTTGACAAGATCAAACAGGAATATCCATTTATTTTTATGTATATTTGTTAGCGTTTTTCTTCCTTTATCAGATCATATGAGAGAGATTAAGAAAGTAGATAAGGATGTGTTTGGATATGGAGGGTGTGCTATTCATCTACCCATAAGATTCAAACGAGACTTCATTTTCTCATCCACCAATGCCCTTACCTCCCGTACCTCTCTCTCAAACTCTCTTTTCAACAGCTCTCTGTTGCCACGGAAGGAAGAAGTCGATTGATCTGACATTGAGGTACCCTACCATGCTCAATTCTAAATCTTAGATTTTATTTTATTTTTACCTATTTCGTATCTCATCATTTGCTCAATTTTTTTGTGGTTTTTTTTATTTAGGTTGGAGAAATCATCAAAAGGTAAATTTTTGGTGCCCTAATTTCTTATTTTCTTGCTTTATGTATTACCTTTTCCCCCCTTAATTTCTTTGCTCGAAGCCTCTTAGATCATTATTGGGTTTCTGCACAATTCTAATAATATAATGAAGTTTGAAAAGCATTTCTGCATATAAAACAGTAGTATTTTTTCAGCCAAAAAATAACAAAAGATGCAGATATTTAACTACTGACCTCCTGTTTTCTTAACAAAAGACAAGAATTGGTGGCTTCATGTTATCTTCGTGTGTTTGTCGCATTTTTAGAAAAGTTTTTTTTAATGAGTCTACTATATCTGCTAGCTTGGTTAGGGTTGATGTGTAATTATCATATCAGATTGTTTGGAAAGTTTGTTATGTTGTTATAGGGAGTGCAAGAACTTTACACAAAATGCTAATTTATTCTTTGTAATTTTTCCTCTTCTGATCTCTTGTGTATTAGTGGAAATCTTATGTGATTCTATGTGTCCTTTCTTGTGGTGCATTGCGTTGTTGTCCACTTGCTTAGGGTGGTTCAAAATTCTTTCATGTGTTCGCCTATGGTGTAACAAAAGTAACTTAAAAAGTTTCTAAGTTTTTAACTGTTTGCTATTTTAAGTTTTAGGTTTTTTGTTATCTGTTTAAATTACAGACTATTTGTTTTCTTCATATTGTTTTCTTCTTTTTGTTATAGGCGTCTTTATTTTCTATTGGATTTTAAATGTTTGTTACAGGTTGAGCTATTAAAATTTGCAGTATGGTACAAAAGGATTGGGGAAAATTTTTCTCAAGGTGAGTTTTATTTGGGTGTTTTTCCTGAACCAAAAGAAGAAAAAGGGAAATGGTTTGTTTAGTGCAGATCTAAGGTTTTGTCTTCCTATTTTTTTCCTTGTGTTAACAGATTTTTTCCCCAGCACTTTATTGTAAGTTTTTGCTGTCTTTGTGCTATTATTGGTCTTTAGAAAGGTGCAAGATGAAGATTAATAATAATGACCTATTTTGTCACTTTGTAAATTGTCGAAAGAAGCAACCAAAATTTTAATGATGTTTGAATGCTGTTAGAATATAACATGAGTGTATTGTTTCGTCATATTGTATGCTACCACAACATAGAACAGAGAAATGATAGCAGTAAATTCGGACTTTGGTAATAAGCCTGATATAGAAACAACATTTTTAAAGTGTGATCGCTTATCATTCTATTTATTAATTTCTAATATTTTGTGAAGATTGCCTTTTCATTCAGTATGTGCTGCGGCTGCTTCTTTTTATTATACCAAATTAACAACTAGCTGGCTAAAAATTTTGTTGGGATTCTTAGGTTGTGTTTCTATATTTTCGCCCCTTGTTAATTTGTTTTGATTTAGCTTACCTTTCTTAAGATCCATTGTTTTGTGCCTTCTGGTATTGTCAATGTAAATCAATGCTTGAGAAAAACAAGAATTCGTGACTTCGTGTTATATAGATTTATAGACAGTAGTCTTTTTTTCTTTGCCTCTGCAGCATGAAGCCAATGGTTTAAACCATATGGAATCAATTTGAAGAAGCTCACGATAATCCTATTGCAACTGAGCATGATCCCTTCACAATTATCATTGCCATTAGAGTCAAAGTGACAACAGCCAACTGTAACCATCTGCACCTTTTTTTTCCCTACGTACTTAAACATTTTAAATTGAACATGTTAATAGTATCAAACATAATTTTTCCCTCATTCGTTTTAGATCTTAGCCTCTCAACTTAGTCATTATCAGTGATTCTTATAATTTCACGTTTTCGAGAAGTTGTGAATCTATGTGATTGTTATAATTTTTAAATTGTCCTGTGCACTGATCTCATGATCATTATTGGATTTTTTTTAAACTTCAAATCAGGTTTCAAAAGAGTGAAAACTAGAGAAGTAATATAGATATTACTACTAGAATATAGATGTTTGCTATCCAGAGAAGAAATGATGCTACTAAGAGTTTTTCTTCTTTTGTTTTATAATACTACATGTCATAAGCATCTGCTATGTCCTATGAAGGAATTATGTCATTGCACATGTAGAAGAATCAAAATGTTACATAAATTCAATTGTAGTACTTGTTACTTACATAGAATGGTAATTTTTGCCATACTATAAAAAATACTGTTCTGAGAGTGTGTGACCTTTTTAGAAAGTTGGAAGGAGAGAACTACAATTGGAGTTTTGGTGTTTAAATTCGATTTAAATATGAATTGCAAACTCCTCTCACTACTAAAATCTATCTATTGTCTGTGTGCAGCTTCTCTCTCTGAGACCAATAGTCCATCGTAGAAGAGTGAAAAGCTTTACCTTCTGGCTGTTGGTTGTTATAGAAGTGGTGAGCATTTAAGAAGCCTGCAGCTTGTATAGAAATGTTTGGGGGTTAGTTCTCTACTCCCATTAGTGAAATTGCTCATAGTTTAACGTGCTTTACCAATTTTAATTGTCAAAAGAAAGAAACTGTAGAACATTTTGTTGTATTCAAGAGTGGTGCTTTTATCCCATTGGTTTTGTCTTTGTTTGCTAGATTGAACCTGATTGGAGGTAGGCTTTGTACCTTGAGAAGACAGTAAAAGAACAAATTACAAAGGTGATAACATATTACTTTGAATCCTCAGGATTATTTTTTTCGAGTATGGCAATACATGAAATAAAAGTTTAACTTTATGGTGCAGATGGTATCATTGGAAGTGGCATTTCAGTTACTGCTGTGGTACTTATAGCTGGTGGAATTATAACTGCATTAGCTAGCAGAAAATCATGATTGTTATTTTAAGAGTAATTTCCCTGATTTGCGGTTCCCAATCTTCGAAGATGATGCATTTTAATCCTGCTAACTATGAACTGATGTCCTTTCTATTACTTTTAGTTGAAGTTAAGACTTTGTAAATATATATTTCAATGGATTTCATATGGTACCTCCGAACTGAAGCATATTATCTCAACTAAGATGTCCGGGCACTCTGGGCAAGCTGAAAAGTCGCGGTGTTCGCCTCCTAGTGTTTCTTAATTCACGGCTGTACTTAAGACTTAAGAGCCCAGTTGACCTCTTCCAATGAACTTCCTAGAATACAACTCATAAAAGATGACGGAAATAATGGTACATTTTTCTAGGCCACTAACCCATGTTGATTTGCTTTTATCAAGGAGCATTTACCTATGTATCGTCATATGTATATGAGTATTAAAATGTTGGCATTGTATCATGTAATTATTATTTGTACATCAACAATTGGGAAATGACTTTCTTGTAAACGAAGCATCATTTGCTGTTGAAATTTTCTTTTGAATGTTTTGTATAAATTAAACTGTAACGTAGACGCGAGAATTTCAAAGATTGTAAAACTTCCAGGTTCTGAATTTTACCTAACGGTCGCTAATAAGTGGCTAACGCTACGCAAAGTCAGATTATCATCAAGTGTTTTGTATGTTTTTGTGATCAAAGGGTCTCTTACCTTAATTGTGTTATTTTCCCACCCACAATCATCCACTTTTTATAAAAAACACGTAAATTCTCTCCAAATCAAAATTGAGAAACACAGCCATGTAATTTAGGGGCGATACTGAATTAACACAGTTTGAGCTTACTTTGATTGAGTTCGAACTCACGAGTCAAGTTCGAGTTTCAAATTTTTGTACTCAAATTCTCGACGAGGCTCATCCACCTTATTATTATATATATTTTTAATTTTTTATATTTATTATTGTGAAAATGTCAATTATAGCATTTATTTTTATTAGATGAATACGATTAGACTCGTACATGCTCGATTGAATTTGATTAGATTCGATTAAATTTAATTAAACTCGAGCTCAAATTTAATTATTTTATCTCGAGTTAAATTCTAATTGTGCGCTACTTGAATTCGACTCAACTCAAATTCGGCCATTGTAATTTGATAGTATTAGCAAGATATCACCACAAATCTTCTCGCGTACAAACAATTGGAATTACAGCAACGGCGAAGTAAAGCAAATTGTAATTTGACTATTAACTACTAGTCATTTGCTGGATCAAATAAAAAAGTAAATCTATATATATTTTGTTAAAGTCCAGTGAACATGGATTAAATTTAAAATGAAGGAAATTCAATCCTGGAACCACACTTGCCACGTGGCAGCACAGGACATTCGATGAGGTTTGATCCGGATGTATCGACGCATACGTATATCTGATATAATTGGCTATTGCCAGATGGGTCGACATTGCACTCGATATAAGGAGTGTACCCAATTCCACCTCTAATTGCCGCTTTGATGCCTTCCAAACTGTAATATTGCCCATTTGGTTGAATTCCTGCATACTTAAAAGAATTGCTCCTTTGGTCAAATTTGAGGGTTCTTGATTTATAGTAGTGTAATCTTTCTTATTTTGTAATTCTATTTAATTTTATAATTGTTCAAATCAAATATATTTTGTGACATGTTCTATATATTTTCTGTCATTATTACAGTTTTCTTTGTCAAACAAATCATGCTAAACGATTTTCAACTAATTTATTAATAATAACAGATAAAAAAAAATTGTTAGACCCAACGTCATGTATTCTAGTATTAGTACAAAATAAAGGAAATCATCGAGTTTCGGACTGCGTAGGCGATCACCACCTGTCATTAAGACAAAATCTTCTAGATTTTCATGTCATTTTGTATTTGGGTCCTTACATAGCACTTCATAGTAGGATTACTATATAATTATCCACGTTGCATGGAAATGAAGAAGTCAAATTAACTCGGATTTTTTATTTGATAAATTAATGTAATATTTCACTGTACGAGTCTATTCTTGCTGTCTTATTAATTCCAACTTTATTAAACAAACCATCGTGTCAGCGGATGAAAATTATTAGATAAAGTACATGGGCTAAAACCAGTTCTTGGTGCAGGAATTAGCAAAAGAAAAGAGGAGGAATTTCATTACGCGCACCTGCATTTTTCAGGATTTGCAAGAGGTTGGATTGTCTTTTGAGGAGTAGAGCAGATGCAAAGTAATCATGCTGATCAAGGATGGATTCCGAGCAGGTCCCGTGTTTCTCCCATTCATGGCTCCAGAAGCTCAAGCCATCACTACTTGGACAGGATAGTGATGGCCAGTCCTTCTGCATTCTGCTCGTGAGGTCTGAAATCTGGAAATTTTATCATCCGAATACCAAATTCAGCTTGGGAATCCAAAAGTAAAAAATAATACAAATTTGGCATAGAAAAATTTCCATCCGAGATTAAGGCCTATTGTTTCAAAAAACAAAAAAAAATTAGTTGTATAGAAATTTGTCTCTTCCTGTGTAAAAAAAAATTTGTGATAATTTTCTTCAATCTGCCCACGTAATCCGAGGGATCGCAGGGACAGTTAACTTAGATAGAAAGGTAGGAAAGATGGTAAATGGTAATCCAAAAAAATAATAATAAAAAATTAATCCGAATTTAGTCCGAAGGATATTCACAGAGTCCGACTCTTACTCAAGAATGAAGATTTGTCCCAAAACTTTTCAAAGCGACACATACAAAAGTGAAACTTGCGACCTCCCGTTAACATTAGCAACTCGCTTATCAGCAATCCGTGTGTTTATGTGTTAGAAAGGGGCAAAAAAAAAAAAAAAAAAAAAAAACCATTCTTAGGCATTTTTTGAAAGACTCTGTCCATTAACTAATGACGGTGGAAGTCTGCAACCCTGGAGCAGGGCCTCTGGTCCTTTCAGCTGTGGTCCATGAACATTTGGTACCACACCAAGTATTTACTATAGACAACAGCCTTAAGATGCTTATC